ATTCATAACTATTAACGTTATTGTATTGTTATAACAGTATTATGATCATCATATGATTTTTATTAGACTAATGTCAGAGATGTGCAATAGCTTGCTGTTGCCCACCTTTGATTAATATCATGACCATCTTGTATCGAAGTACCAAAACATTGTTATACCTGATTAAAGATAAATGGAAATTTTTCAGAAGAAGAACGCTCATTTAATTTTTCGACAGTCCAGCTCACTAATTGAGAAGTTGTTCACATTATGGTTATCGATATGTTTGTATGATGATGTGAAAGAGAATTTAATCGGCAGCAATTTATTCATGTTATACAAAGCATTGAAATGTCAAATTGACAAAGGTCCTGTGGATTCAATTACGGGTAATGCAAGATACTCTCTCAATGAGCACAAATTGTTACGTGAGCCTGTGGATGTCAAGCAAATGGTAAGTTTCTCCTTGATATTTTTGCATTTTTCATCTTATTCACGTGCAGTATTCAAGTAAACAAATTGACTTGTTTAATAAATTGATTTGTTCATGAAGATTTGTTTGATAATCCAGAGATAGTATTTCACTCGAAGAAATGTTGTCTGGAAAGTACTAATACAATTTTCGTATTTGTGATCTATTCTGTGGTAAATGACGATCAAATTTTCGAAAATGAAGAACAATTTTCATGGTTTCCTGTGGTGATTAGATGATGAATAAATAAAAACAACTTCAGCAGTTACTGATAGTGCCGTTAGATAATTTCGACGAGTCACCGATATTAGTTCGTTGTCTAACGTGCGATACGATATCGCAGTTGAAGATGAAACTCTTGGATGCTGTCTACAAAAATGAACCGTTTTCGAAGAGAATCTCTACGGATCACTTCGATTTGGGTTAGTTGCTATTGCCATTGGCAATACTTCGTTTGTTCAGGCATTTTCACTTCTATTAATAATTATATTTCGGGCAATGATTATGTGTTTCTGTGCAATGTTCATGGAATTTCAAAGGAATTTATGCAATGCCGTTCGTCATCTTTTGAATGAGATATTACCATAATCGGAATTTATTTGCTACTTCTTTCATCAATAAAGATGTTTTGAAGCAAACTTTTTGCAATATGATAACGTTTCATCAAAGGATCGTAAAATTTATTCGATTTGAACTCATTGAAATATCAATTAATTTGGTTTGTTCGATCGTGTTGTTGTAGCAATTAACCTTGAAGAGCATTTTATTGCTTTTCTAATAATAGCATTAGAGTATTTTTGTGAACGGTTGATCGTGTTGTGCTTAATGAGGAGTAAAAAAATATGTTTCGTCAACGGAAATCGTTTGAAAGTTGAACGGATACGGATTTTATTTGATTTGTAATGTCTAAATTCCTCAAAATATTTACTATGAATGGGA